CTGCCGTGCCCGTGCCCCCGCTTCGCGCGCTGCCACGCTCTCTCACCGTCGCGCAACGCAACCCCCTCCCCCGCTTGCATTGCTGTTGCCCCCACGTGTACCCTTCCAACAACTCACCGCGCCCGCAGTCAAGAATGTATGTCACCGACCCGCCCTACTGCCGCCTCCCCCCACCGACCCGCGCTACCCGCCGCCCTCCACCTCCCACACCGCCCCCGCCTCGCACCATGGCCGACTACAAGCTCGCCGCGAACCACTACTGGCCGCGCCCGGGCGCCGCGCACACGGACGCCCCGCCGTCTCGCTTCACGGCGATGCCCGCCGCGCCCGCGTCGCCGTACGTGCCTCCGGCGCCGGTCACTGCGGCGGCCCCGTCGGCCCCGGTGTCAGTCTTCTCGTCGGCGCCGCCACGCGGAGAGCCGGTGCGCCTGTACCGGGATAAGCGCGACGAGGAACGCAACACAGACAAGTACGAGGACATGTCGGCCGTCTTCTCCGTCATCACGGCCACCGAGCGCTTGGAGAACATCTGGGCGCGGTGGGGCGCCATTAGCCAGGATGACTATGAGCGCCAGTGCGAGCTGCTCATCCAGCAGTACAAGGTGCTTACGGCGAGCACGGCTGAGTTTATACCCAAGATTGATAAGTTCATTCATGAGTACGATATCAAGGCGAGCAAGGCCCGCCCGAGACTCGCGTGTGGGTACCCTGTTACTGTTAAGGGCCCAAAGGAGCCCAAGCATCAAAACAAGTTTGTCTTCCGCTGCACCAGCTTGTTTCATCATTTGGGTACCTGCATTGATACCAATCAAGTGGCAGTTGGCTTTTTGCTCCCGGATCTTATCTCGCTCATGAAGACGTTGAAGAGCATTTCCTCCCTGCCGCAGGACTTTGTGTTTAATGCTCGCGTCGAGTTTTGGGTCGAAAAGCTTAATGCCATGCCGGCCTCCTTCGAGCTTACGTTTGATGACGCTAGTCAACTCAAGCTCGACCTGGACAACGGCTACGCAGAACTAGAAGCCGCCATTAGCAACTAGCTCGTCAACAACAAACGTGTATATAATTTCAAACGTATTCGTAAACTACACCGCTCTTCACCACCTACCGAACTGCACAACTACTTACCGACCGATGTATAACATTGCCCCAATCATTTCTTCGTCTCTTCCTTACCTCGCGACATGTCTCCCGCCCCCGACACCGTTACCTCGTGCCCCGGTTGCTTTGCAGCATATCCTACCCGTCTACCTTTCCACACCCACCGTCCCCGGCGTTCCGCCCCGCCCCTGCCGGCACGTAACCATCCGCACATTGCGACCGCCTCCCTTCATGTCCCCGCCCGTCTCATGGCCCGAGAGTCCAGCAGCTCGGCCCCTTTCCACGACCTTCTGCTCGTCCCGTCTGTCGTCTATATTCTCATTCAACTGCCAACCACAGTCCGGCCATGAAACTGCTTCGCGGAGACTCCAGCAGCGAGCTACCCAATTTTCTCTGCATTCCACAGCCCCGCTAACTGCTCGCGATGTTTGGTCCACACCCCTGTGCATCTCGCTGCGTCTTGCCATTATAGCACTTCCCGTCAGTCTTGCCCCGCAGGCTCCATTCATCCTACACACCCACACTCCACCACGTCTCAACTCCTACATAAGGAACAGCACTGCATTCTAACCCCCATGTCCCACTGACCTCAACCCGCCCGGTACACGCACCCCCTCTTTCTCTCAAAAGTAATCGTGCGGTCCTCCTCCGCAGCCCCCGCCAAAGGCCGAGAAGATACCAGATATGGATTCGACTTCCGGCAACGGCCGTATTCCGGTTGTCGATGGCATTCCTCTAGCCACAACTTCTACCATGGAACGCATCCCTCGGGATCACAATGAGCTCATTCTCCAATGCCAAAAGTCCTTTCTAATTGTTTTTCAAATCATCCACAACGACAGGACCGAAGGCGAGCTGCTCCTTCCAGCGCTCATCAAAGTCATGAAACTTCTCATCGAAGTCAGTGCCATTGGATTCGATTCTGACTGCCATGAGAGGCTACCTTTATGGGTCGATAAAATGAACAGAATGCATCCCGCGAGCAAATTATCAGAGCAAGACAGGCACCAACTACAGAAAGACCTCACCTGTGGGTACAAGCATTTACAATCACTTGCGCTTCCATGATTCACATTGCATCTTGTTCCCACACATAGGCGTGTTCCCGGCCGCCGCCTTTGCGTCAAGTTTATTTTCATTGTTAGAGACAAAGATCAAACCATCGTTGAACGTATCGTTGCAGACACATCAACTATCCTGCCGTTGGGCAAAATGCGCATTCTCAAGGAAGAGTGCGCCCAGAAGTGGACTGTTTGATCCTGCCTCTAATATCACTATCCTCCCGTGCGCAGTGCGGAGGAACTGCCACCCCCACCCCAGCAACGCAAGATCCCTTTCAAAATGATGACCTCTAGACCAGAGTGCGTTCGGCGCGTGGAAAAGCCTTCCACTGCAAAATCCTGTGCTTCTGTGCCTCGTTGTGATGAATTTTGATTCCTCCACCCTCGTGGACTACCTTTTCGATATGGGCGAAAGCTCCGCTCGATCCCAATGGCTCAAGCTTCTCCTGACCTAATTTCTCGACAAACTCAATTTCATCTTTCCGCAGTTCTTTTGAAATCACGTCTCGTTCGCCACAAGAACAACTTTCGGTGCAAATTACTCCAACAATACCCAACCCTTTGCCAGTATCACAGGGTCACTGAGACTGGAGACGAAACGTTAATTCAAAAAGGGCCATTCGCTTCGAGCATTGTCATCAGTCACCTGCAATCTCCGCTAGTTCCACCCACCGCTCCGTCTTTGATTCAATCTCTTTTTCTGTTTTCGCAAGCTCGGCACTCCATTCTGCCAAGTCGCTATATCCCGCATTTGTTGCCTCCTGCTCGAGTTTTGCTGAAAGCTCCTCGTACCGCGCCTCGCATTGCTCAATTTCCTTTTCCAAGGAGGCATATTCCTTTTTTTCATGATATGACATTGTGCGTCCCTTGCTCTGTGCTGCTGCAGCGGCAGTTCTCTCGGCCACTTGCGTCCGCTCTTCAACAGCAACCGCTTTTCGGTTCTGTTTGGCCTCCTGTTCCATTTCTCTTTTCGCGTCGAGGTATTCCGTAAACTTTCCCTCCACTAAACTCACCTTGCCGTCGCCCTCTAGGATCAGTAAATGGTCAACCAAACGATCAAGCATGAATCTATCATGAGAGCACAAAACTAGAACACCAGAATAGCTTAGCAGCAATTCCTCGAGCATTGTCAGTGTGTTAATATCCAGATCGTTCGACACCTCATCGAGTAGAAGAAAGTTGGGATTCTTCAGCAGTAGAGCCATGAGTTGGAGCCTTCTCTTTTCGCCTCCTGAAAGATGAGACACAAAGTTGTGTTGTTGTTGCCTCTTGAAGCCGAAATGGTCCAACATAGTAATAGGTGACATCTTGGTGAGCGGGTTACTGACGCCAGCAGATTTTGTAGGTGGCGAGGGAAGTGCGATGCTATGGCTTAGAGAGGCGATTTTGGCATCAAGCTGAGCGACTGCCTCATCTTTCGCTCCTATCCCAGAGGCCCCCTTCCTCGACACAGAGCTCTTCCCATTCCCTGGATTATGCCCATGCAAGGAAACGAGTTCGCTGACATAGTCAATCACTCGAATTTCATCGGTTCCCTTTCCGCCCAGCAAAGCCTCAGAGGCGGCGGACAAGGGTGCCAACAAGTCAATTCCGTCTTGATCAAAATGCCCAAACACAACCGTCTCTCCTACGTTAATGGTGCCTTCTTGCAGTGGCACCTTCCCCAACAGCGCGCGAATTAACGAGCTCTTCCCGACACCATTCCCTCCGCAAATCCCGATGCGCTCTCCTCGTTCAAATGTGTAATTAAAGCCGTCAAGCACGAGCTTCCCGCCCCTTGTTAACGTGACGTTTTCCAGCTGGACGACATCGCTGCCCAGCCTCTCCGTCGCTGAAGCCAAATTCTTCACGCGTGTGTTCTCCTTAATCTTATTTTTCCTCCTTTGCAGCTCCTGCTGGAGCTTCTCAAAGCCCTCCTCCCTCGCTTTTGCCTTCGTTGCTCGTGCCTTGGGCTGCTTCCGCATCCATTCAAGCTCGCGGCGGAAGGCCTTGGCAAGGTCGAGCATCTCCTTCTGCTCCGCCTCTATCATGGCGGCCTTCTCCGTCAAAAACGCATCATACCCGGGCGAGTAGCGATTGAGCCCGTCATCGAGCTCCCAAATGGCAGTGGTGCAAACGCGATCCACAAAATAGCGGTCATGTGAAATACAGAGCACGCTCAAGGCCGGATCCTGAAGAGTCTCCTCCAAAAACTGGATCCCCTCAATCGACAAATGGTTGGTGACCTCATCCAGCAGCAAAACATCTGGCCTTGAGACTAGGGCCGCAGCGATAGCCACGCGCCTCTTCTGGCCGCCCGACAGCTCCATCACGGGGGTGTTATTCGGCAGCTGCAGGCGGTGCATGGCCGTCGCCAAGTAGCTCTCAATCTCCCATGCGGCCGGGCGCTCATCCATTCCGGCGGCGGCCTCCGCCAATCTCTGCAGCAGGGCGTCAATCTCGGCCTGCGCGGCATTCTCCGCCTCGGCCTTGTCGACGAGGGCGGAGGCGCGGGCGTACTTGAGCGCGGCGCGCACGTCTGCCGAGTTGGTGCAGGCCGCGGCGAGGGTGAGGACCGCGCTCAAGGTGGACTGGGACATGTCCAAATCGGGCGGGAGCTCTTGCGAGACGAAGGCCAGCGAGGAGCCCTTTCGCAGGGCGACGGAGCCCTTGTCAGGCGGCTGCAGGCCCGCGAGGATAGAGAGGAGCGTGGACTTTCCGGAGCCGTTGGCTCCAAGGATGGCGACTTTGGCGCCCGCGGGGAGCGAGAGCGAGACATCCTGCAGCTGGTAGACACGGCCGTCGTGCGTCTTGGTGAGATTGTCGGCCCAGAGGACACGGTCTGGTAAGGCACAGCGGGGGGAGAGGCGGCGCCGCGGGCTGGGACGACACACCGGGAAAGAAGGGAGCGGGAGGAAGAGAGTGAGCAGCGGCATTGTTGCGGGGCGGCGCTAGAGGGTTGGCAAGAGCGGCGAGGAAAGTGTGGACGACGGTCGGGGCGCGTAATGCGCAATGTGCTGATGATGGACGGGAGGACAGGAACTTTTCCTGCTTGATCTCGGGCGCAGAGAAGAAATGGGCACGTGTAAACGTGTAACAGCTGTGCTACGTGTACACGTGAACTACGTGTGCATTCATTGCTGTGTTTTACACGTGGAAAGACTGTCAACAGTCTTTTCGTACAACACCTTTCTGCTCCAGTGCCTGGTGCACCATTCCGCCACCGCAGCCGCAAGTGGGCCAAACTTCCCTGCCTCGGCGATGGCATCGTCGGGCGTATCCTCCTCCCGCGAGGCGTCGGCCGCCTCAAACCCGCGCGGCTTGTCATCTATATGCCACCTCTACGGCGAGTGCATCTGCGAGGGCGATCCGTGCACGGACGCAGCTCGCGCCCGCGCCCTGGACGCGAGCACCCGCGACCGCCTGGCCCACGTCCGCCGCCGCCTGCGCGAGTGCCACCGAATCCTTCACATGGAGGAGGCCGCCCGGCGGAACCTCGCCATCTCCGGCCCGCAGACGGGCCGCGAGAGACGCCGAATACAGATGGCCGCGAGGTGGATCGACAAGCAGGTCCGCGCCGTCACCGTCCTCGCAGAGGAGGTCGAGACACTCGATAAGGATATAGGTGTCGACACCGCAGAGGGAGCGCAGGGAGATCGCTTGGGGTGTGCCGTCATGTGAGGCGTGCGAGAGCCGCGTGCGAGTGTATCTACCATGCTGCGCGGGATATACGCGCTCTTTGCTTCGCTACCAACCGGCCTCTCGTTTACAAGCCTTTGTCCTTGTGGAACCGCCTCGCATACCCGCTTTCGCCCGCTCTCACTTTCACCGCGGCCGCTCTTGGCTGCTTCCCTCGCCCTTTGCGCGTGCGCAGCGACCGGAACCCCCCACTTTTCGCCAGCCCGCTTCGCATCACAGCCCGGATGCCCTGCTCGTACGCAGACACACGTACATACCATGGCGTCGCCCCCGCCTTCCCGCACTTCATGTACGAGAAGCTCGTGATCCCAAACTGCCGCATCCGCATGCCATCCCCGATCAGGAACAAAGGGCCCCCGCTATCCCCGTCTGTCGTGCGAGAGAGAGTACGCAGGAACGAAGAAGAGAGTCAGTCACTGCCGTCGTATCATTCACGCACGCTCGCCTCGCTTGCACTACTTACAGCAAGTATCCGTCACGCCTTCATGTGGGAAGCCCAACGACGTCGCGCACGTCTGAAACTTTTCGCGCAGGAACTCGCGCACACCGGCCCTCTCCCTCGTCGCGCACTTCGAAAAGCTCTGCGACACCAGCTTCGCCTGCTTCGCCGTCGCCGCGTTTGGACCCCGTTCGGAAGTCGTCCCATACCCCGCGGCGACCACGTGCGCCCCCGCCTTGGGCACGTCACCCAGCAAGACAGGATGGAACTTGTTGTCCGCCAATGGCTTCCTCAGCTCCAACAACGCCACGTCGTGCCGCAAGTCGCGACCAGATCCGCGCCATCCGTGATGCACCATAACCCGCGAAAGCTGCAGCGGCGTTTCCGTCATCATCGGGTAGCCCGAGCGTGAGCCGATGAACACAATGGTATCATGGATGCTTGCGGATTTCCCGTGGGAAGTTTCGGCAAAGCAGTGCGCAGCCGAGAGCACCCAACGCCGCCCGATGATTGTGCCCGTGCATGTGAAATAGTTATCGTTGTTGGTTTTGACCAAGATGTACACAAGATGTCGCACGTACTTGGGCGCGGCCCCGCCACCCCCCACGATGCGTTTTTCAAAGCCTAGCGAACAGGTAAGCAGGACGAGGAGTGTCGCTAAGGTCAAGAATAGCGTAGGCGGGCGTGCCATCAGCGCATTCCTGTCAAATGACGCAGGGGCGCGTCGGGCAGAGTTTGGGGTCTGGTGAGGCTCGGCAAGAGCAAACGATACGGAAAATGAATATTAGTTTGATTGCGGGAAGAGCTGAACAGGGCTGTAAATTCCCTGCAGTGAAGCTGCACGGCATGTGGGAAGGGCCGTCGTTTTGTCAGGTCCGCCACAGTTTTAGCGTTGAATTAAGTAGTGGTTGCGCCGGGACAAGAGTCGTTTTGTGTAACGGTTTTCGTCCGTATTTCCGGACGCTTGCAGCATGAAACCCTGTGGACCCGTACAAGGTAGCAGAGTACGTACATGAGATTAAGCTTTTTTTCTCGCCATGTGCACGTTGAAAACGAGGGTGGGGACGGCTGCGTTGGGCCCTCCGCAGTGTTCCAACTGTAATCTCAGCCACAAGAACCGACATGTGTTTCGACACAGCAACAAAAGCGACGGTCAAGTTCGTCATTTAAGGGTTCTGTACTCTAGCTAGTGGCCGGAGAATGCGCTGTTTCAAATCCACCAGATCTCTACAATAGATGCAAAAGATAAACCCGTTACCATAGGTGATTGCACATATACTTCGTCTTCTCTTTTCGAGAGCTTACTTTCTTGCCTTCTGTATGCGTTGCAGTTGAAGACTGTCAAGACTTTCTAGCAGATGTTGGGACAACCGGCTCAAGACCCGTTCTACCCAAGAGGAGGTTCCATAGCAGCATATGGTTCTACTTATGCTGCAACAAAGCCTGCCATCTCTCACTTTGAAGCCCACTCTCCTACAACGTTTCAACAGCGTTATAACTGTTGTATTTCGATTTTTGCTCGCCGAAGACGACGCCTTTCGAAAAGGTATCCCCAACCTCTCACGTTTGGGTGTCAACATCAGCATCCATGAACACACCCCTGCCGAAGCATCTTATCTAAGGTCACGGCACGATAGCTTGCTCGAAAACGAGTTCTAGAAGCCATGCATTCTCCCCGTTGATGGAACTTTCGAGCACACCGCATCTAGCTAGCGAGATCCAAGAAGCACGACGGTGCGGTCTATCCGGAAGCCAATCTCAACGGGAGCCTGCCTGCACGATGCAGTGAATCTACTACTACTGCTCTCACTTTTTCGTGTTCGGACAAACACATTCATAGTAGCCATCGGACGACTAGAAGACGAAGCTACGACCCCATGATGTTGGTTGATGTACAACCCCAAGCAGTCTTCGCCACCCTCTAAGTGTGCCAAGATAGCCTGGGAGCCATTCTCTCCCTCGCCCACAATTTTCCCTCCATTCTCAATAATATGCAGCTTGGTCCGTTGCAGAAAACGGCACTCACAACTTCTTTCTTCACAAATTGATGTACCATGTCTTGCCAGTTCTCCTTCTTCCCGAAATGAACTGCGATCCCGTTCTCCACGTCCCATACTCGCACGTTTGTGTCAAGCGATCCAGATACCGCATGTCTTCCGTCCCTACTCATTGCAACGCTATCCCCCCACGACGCATGACTACCGAAAATTCTCATTACTCTCTCTGACAACAAAGCTACAGCTTGGCTCAGGCCACAATGCAGACTTCTGCAGTTCAAATTGTAATATAAGTTTCATTGTTTAACAGTTTCGTTGCGGTCTTCGCATTTGCGTATTCTCTCTAGTAAACCGTGGCTGAGAACGAAAAAAATTTCAAACCAATTTCCACAAGAACTTAAATCGACACTATCGGTACATCTTCCACCCAGTCTTGCGTCCAGAACGCACTAAAGAGTCGATCTTGGAACGATATTCTGAGACTCTCTGGTGAACAAAAACGCTTCCAGAGCCCTCGCAGAGCCACCCATAAAAATAGCTTGCAATTCCGTACTGAATATAATCTTTGCCGCTTTTTCTCATGATAGGACCACCAGAGTCACCAAAACAAATTCCTGTCTTCCCCACTTCCGGAAATCCCTTAGAGGTCGAACAGACTTCCTCTTCTTCTGAGTTAGCGGCAAAAAATCCCAACTGCTTGTGGCAGACATCCCATTTTTGATGTATCACCTTTGCTTGCAGAACAGTTTTGCCAGAGTATTTGAAAGTGCCTCGTGCTCCATACCCGGAGACTATCACACCTCCGGGGGCTCTGGATGGAGCATCTCCGAGGATCATCGGAACGTATCTAGATCGAGATATTCTGTTCTTCAACTCTATAACAGCTACATCGTATCGATAAAGGCCATTGTTCCTGTACCTTCTGTCCACATAAACTCTTTTCATGAAATACTTGTTCGCCGGGTTGTCAAAGTATTTAATATCAGTCCCCTTTTCCCCAACAAGTACGTAGGATTTCTTTGCATACACTTTGTTCATCCTTCCAAAGTCCACGAAACAGTGCGCTGCGCACAAAATATGCTTGCGAGAGATGACGGAACCGGTACAACTGAAGACATCTCCAGCCCTTGTCTCTATGACAACAAGGGCCAGTCTCTTCCGCAAAGATCTTTTGGCTTTGAAGCCACCGACAATGAGTTCTGTGGGTCCGGTGGAGGATGATGACGGAGATGGCCTGAGAGTCGAAGAGCGTCCATGATAGTGTTTTCCGGTTAGTTTATCGGCTCCGAGAGCCAAAGTAAAAAAGAGTAAGAACAAAACGACGGCATCGCCTTTCATGTTACTTCACACGGAGTGGCAGTAGAAAGTGATGACTGATGTGCTGATATATCTTCGAAATAGGTTGTAGAGGTGTGATGAACTCTTTAGTATTGAGATGGAAGACATATACTACATCGTCAATACAAAATTGGCTGTTGTGAAAAGGCGGCTATTGGACCACGTCTCAATGAGAAAGTAAACTACGTTTTTTCGTCCCCAGCAGACGGAAATATTCCTGGGCTTGTGGATTTACAATCATATGCCCAAATAGTTTCTAATGTAGAACCCTTTCTGTTGTCTTTGGATTACAGTCAGGGCATTCATACAGCAGGTCATGAGAAAACTGCAAATAGTTCTGCACAAGAACAAGGCTTCGAGTAATTACCCGAAGGGCAGGCCCAAAAATTTCGATTGTGGGGAAATGACATGCAAGTGTAAGAAACGAGTTCTGAGTACAACTACCGTACATACAGGTTTTTCTGTTTGCAATTCTTAGCGAGATTTATTGCAGCTAATTGTTTTGGATTGTTCCTCCAATCGCTCTAAGAAATTGAATGCTGACTATTTTCAAAACGACTTAATTCAGTGATGACAACAGTATCCTCATTGCCATTTTCATTTTTGATGAGGCCGTCAGCACGAAACGAAATATTTCCATCCGCCCATCACAAAATAGGAGCGTGCAACGTAGTGTTTTACAGGAGCGTCTGTCCTTCTCTACTGGTCATGACATGGACTTTTGAAGAAATAACGTTTTCTAGAAGAACAGGACAACTAGTACTTCCAATCGATATTTCGCAGTGCCATCACTATAAACATTCATTTTCAAACACATTTCCGTGAATCCTACTTCCTTTAAAATGCAATAGGAGGAATCTGAAAGGAAATTCATGATTTGTATATATGGTTCCCCTGCAAATTTTCATAGCCAATATGCGACTTGAGATGGATATTTCCAAGTACGGAAGACTATAGAAATAAGTAGTCATATTGGTCCTTAACCCTTCGACTTTCATTTCTACGTAAGAACAAGAATCAAGAAACACACCAGAACTATGTAGATCTAGATGGATCGAACTGTTTATAGTGTTGTCTGGTTTTCTCGCTTTGACTTCATGTACCAAACTCTTCTTATATAATCATTTACAATAAAACGACCGTTGCTATGACCGGCGGTTTAGTATCTTGTCAGTACGGGGGGGGGGGGGGGGGGGGGGACGCCCATTAGTGCCGCTTTTACTTATGCTACCCTCCCACTAATGCCTGCCAAACGCACGAACAAGGAAAGTGCCATGTGTCACACGGGTCGGGTCTCGGTGTTATGCTGCCGTCCGTCCGTAGCGCGTGAAACCATGTGAAAGCGGCTTTTAAGCCCGATCCGATTCACCGAACAGCGTTCGCAGACCTTAGCTTGTCCTCCTTATGAATCCGGTTCCGGAAATGAAAAAAGAAACGCGCAATCAAGTGATGAAGATGGGAGCGCAGAGGACGAGAGAGAGGGACTGTACCCTCTATCGTTGAGATCTCGGAATTGTTTGGTGAGCTAGAAGTTTTGGCGACTGAATGCCAAGTTTCAGACGCTCTATCGTATCTGAGGTCGGCAACGCGCGCGTTTCTCACTGCAAAACACGACAGAGACCCAACGCGGAGCAGGCAGACGTTAATTACCGAGTGCATGAAAATAGATGTGACGACGTCACCTACTAATGCCATCTCCCAATAGTGCCTATTTTGGGGTCTCGCACGGGGCGGCACTAATGGGTAGGGTCCCCTTTACTGTATATCTAGATTGTCAAAAAATACTTTTCATCGTTGATTATAGGACCCTTCTAACATCTGTATTAATGAGCAAATTCTCATATGTCGGAGATTTTGTGAGCCAGTTCCGCTGTCGTATTGATGAGGTCTGCAATCCAATACACATAAAGGAAACAAACTTGATTTCAAACCACATAATTTACTGAACATTCTAAATGGTGCTTTGAGAGTTAGAACAACTTTTGTCCCGTGAAAATGAGGCATGAGAAATGTCTATTTGTTTACACCCATGATATGCCCACGTGGTTTTATCGTCTATTCCAATGCGCCAAACACATAAGGCAGTCACATAAGCTGTTGAGATAAGATGAAAGAACTACCGCTACACATTATCCTGATTTTAGATATGGGAGACAATACGAAACCTATCCGCGATGGAAATGTTCAGGCAAAAATGTAAAGGTTTTTTTCTTTTCAAGGAGGCAATGCATACGCCGTTGCTTTAATGGCTCTTCACAGAGATTCGTACCACCGCTTGCCGATCCAGGCTTCTCACAATCAAGCTGTAAGTGTCATCAACGATCCCTTAGATTTTTTCATGATTCCGTTCTTTCGATCATTCAATCGGCTTTCGAAATCACAAAGACCGAGAGATTTTGGCAGTTCAGAGGAAATTGTTACCCCACACTGCATGCTATGAATGGTTCATAGGTTCCGGTCTCATTCAATGCGGGAAAGTTAGAGCTATGATGTTTTGGTCAATGCGTATTCACAGAAAAAGGGCTTCTAAAACATACAAGGACCTCTGCAAAGGGAAACCCGTTTCAAAAATGTACGGTTTGAGAACGCAACGAGACCGAGCTGATTCTCATGTCACAAGATCCCAGACACAATTGACAAGGGATGAATTTTCTGCGATCGCTTTACAAAACTATGAAATTTTTATACAGTCGTTGCATGCGATGCCTTCCCCCTTCCCCCCCCCCCCCCCCCCCCCCCGGCCAAGCAATCCTTAACATCCTCATGTCCTCATGTATGTATGCTTTTCTGCTGAAGTATACTTTCCCTTTCCTGGAGGAACGATTCTGTCGAGACCTGAAATAACTGAGCTGCCAATAATCTTTTAGCGGGAAACCTTTGAAGAATACTCGCATTGAACCTTCCCTGCCAATAGCTTATTGGTCCGTTAATTAAATTAGTCAATTCTCGATTATGTCGCCATGGCATTTTGTCAATGTACATTATTATAGAAGTTCCGGGGGCCAGATGCGCAGGAACAAAGTCTCCTCCTGCTATATATGAACACACCGATGCCCAACGTTCGAGGTCCAAATAAGGGCTCGATCTCAAGCATAGGGAGAGAAAACCAAGCTGTAATGGGGCACGAAATATTGTCATGGACATGCGTTTCAGGAGCCCCTGTGCTTTCGAGCTGTTCAGTGCTACAGCAGCTGAGACAACTCCATAACATGTTTTCTCGCAATCGCAGATGAAAAGGTCTCTGTCTTTATGATTTCACCCAAGCAAAACGTCATTCTCTAAAGAGCCCCGTCGCAAGCGTGAGCTCTACAATGAGGAAGGCCAGAATGAACAGGGCACTTTTACTGGTAGCTGTTTTCGGGCTCTTATCTGTTTCTGCCAGGCCGAAACCATCTTTCTCGAAGAGACAAGCACTGCAATCTCGCGTTGTCGGTGGCTCTCGAGCAGGAAAGCGGATTACGCGTCATTTGGCACATCTCATCATTAAGTTCAAAGATGCGCAGTACTCCAGCCTCTGTACGGCGACTGTGATCGCACCGCGCTGGTTGTTAACAGCCGCACATTGCTTTGTAGGACGCAATGGCTTCCCCTCCGCGGCTACGTTCTCTTCTTATGCTTTCATCGGGGAGTCAAGCGCGAAGCTCAGAGTCGAAAACACAGTGAAGCGACCGTATTTTGTCAAGAGTTTTTTTTTACACAAGAAGTATAAGCCGCGACTCTTTGACCACCGCAATGACATCGCCCTCGTGTACCTCGATCGACCGATCTCAAAGGCAAAACTCTCAACGGTTAAGCTGGGGCGAAGCTATAAGAGCATGCCATTGGTCGGTACCAGAGTTAGCACTGCGGGGTACGGGCAACTGTCTGAAAAGGGGCCGAAAGCCTCACATCTAATGAAGGCATCTCTTATCATTAAACCTTTTCTGGCATGTGCAAGGCGTGAGCATCCCTACATCCGACAATTCCTCAGTGCACCAATTCAAGTATGCGCGGTTTCGCCGGGATGGCCTCATTTTGCGCGGACCGATACGTGCTACGGCGACAGTGGCGGGCCGCTTTTCTTCACTGAAAAGTCTTCGGGACGGATACTGCAGTTTGCATTGACCTCTTTCGGAACGTCGACATGTGCAAAGGCCGGGTCAGTGACGTGGTATACGCGCGTATTTGTGTACTACAATGACATTCATAAGAAAATTCGTGGTATAGACGGAAGGGCTTGGAAGGGCTTCTGGTAGCGGTTTTACACCGGCATAGCGATAGTCTGCAATAGGGCACTGCCTTTCATTGATTCGATTTCACAGAGTGCAAAGCACTAGAATCTAGTTTTCGTCGAGGCTGGTTCCAAAGAATGAATTGATTTACACTACTAGAAAGTATTCCCACTCAAGAGAGTTGTGTTTGAGGCGGAGAACCCTGCAAACGCGATATGAAAGGATGAAAAGCCTGGATTACTGGCTAGCTGATGCCAGAACGTGTGTATAATCTCAAAAGGTGAAAAGGTCAAAACTAATCCCAAAAGCTGTCAGTAGTAGTACAATAGGGGTATCGTGGTTCGTTTGCTTGTGGTTTGTTCAAAAGCACAAGCGCAGAAGTCATTTCAGTAACTTCGGTATGGAAACAGACAGAAAGACAAGAAGGACAAAGGTTGGTCCAAATATATGTACCTATGGATGGGCGCGTTTAACAGCGCGACGAGGGGCCATCGCGCTTCTGACTGAAACTGGACTCGGACTGCCCTCCTTTGCTGACGGCGACATAGACCACAGAAAATGCTTCGGAGGCTACGAGGCCGCAGAGCCCAGGAAATCCTTAACGCAAATGGATAAAGCCGATGCGTGTCACAACCACGCTCATTCATCCGATCGTCCTTCTCCATCTCCCGCCTGAGGAAGTACGAGCCGAAACTTACTAAACACGTAAGGATACATCGCCTGGAAAAAGTTTCGAAAAGACCCTCGCACAAGAATCTCATGGGTCACCCAGCTCGCCCCTTTCAACACGTAGTGTTTGGAGTCAAAAAAGTCCTTTGAATACTCTGGATACCTTTCTGTCGGCCTGAACCCCTCAAATTCTTCAAACAGTGTCGTCGTCAGCTCCCATCCATTCCCGACTAGCCCCACCGCGCCGCCCGTCGACAAGCACCCAGTTGAAACGCTGTGCAGCCGTCCTGTCATGACGTCGACATGGCCCCCATTCCCTCGGGCACCCTCGTTACCGTACGCCGCGAGCAGCCACTGCGGCTCGGACGGGAGCGACGCCCCGCTCCATTTGGCGTACGCAAGTGCCTCCGCGAGCGAAACTGATACTGGCCATTGCAGCATGTCAGCGTAATCAACCCTTGCGCCATGCCCTTCCATGCCAGGACCCACACTCGTGAGCACGTGAATATCTCCTTCCATGGCTCCATCTCCATTGCACATCCACGATAACGGATGTTGCATCCCTTCCCGACAAATCCACGCCCAATGGCCTTTGCTCCAGAGTTCCCGCCGCAAGTACCCGCCCGCGCGAACGAAACGCAAAAAATCGCCCACGGAAACCGCATGCTGAGCTATGCTGAACGACGTGACTCCAGCTGAGGCGGCGTTCCTCTCGTTATCCCAGTGGAAGCCTCTGTGCGAGGGGACGCCGAGAGGCACATCGGCACCTTCAACCTCAATCCAGGTATAGCACGGGGGTTTATCGTCGCGAAATTCGCGCTGTGGCCGCTCGGCATCGCGAAGGCAGCAGTTCTTTGTCGGACGCTGCTGCTGTGCGAGCATATAGTGCAGTGTCTCGACGTGCATAGCTTCATGTTCAGCGACCAATCTGATGGTGTGCGCCAGCTCTTTGGTATCATCTGCCTGGGCCGCGATTCGCTCTCGGACTTGTGTGCGGACGGCATCGCGGTAGCTGAGCACCTCTGACCATGAAGGCCATTTTACGGGTGCGGCCGGGTGGTCATGGCACTCGGTGGGGTCCTCGACGTCTGGGTCGATGCCGCGGGAGAAGAGGTCGTCAAAAGTGGGGTGGAGTGCGTTTGCGTTGAGGAGGGGGCGGAGAGTAATCCAAGCGAACGATGGAAGGTGACCAAAGTAGAAAATGAAGGGATTGCGTAGCGAGATTGGACGGCATAGAGCTTGTCTTTCAATGGAGTTGTCCGCGAAGAAGGTGTCGGAAAGTGCCCAAGCACTCTCCAGTGAATCAAGCTGGGACGAGACCGACATGAAGCCTTCACAGCCTCTTTTTGAGTGAGGGACACAAGTAAAGTCGTATTGTTCTGCGTTGAAGCATGAAGTTGTTTTTATGGTTATTTCCTGATAGGACATTCACTTGAAATCCATTTGTTCGTAGAAATATGTGACAGGCAGTTGCGGCATCACATCCTCTTGTGGCCAGCATCTGTCGATTGGATCTACAAAAAAAATACCTGTGGGAATCACTTTCACTCCATTGGTATTCCCTATTTGATATATCAAGACGCCTAGTCTAACACATTCATGTCTCCAAAGACAATGCCCCAAAGAGTAACGTGTAGCATATAGTGCGAGGGGAGACAAAACACTTCTCTTACATGCCGTAGAACATTGACATTGTTTCTCAAAGCACTGTTTTAATGTGTGCACGTCCACACGCTCCCCAAAGCGAATGGACCGCCAACATAAAAAATGTCATCGTGTGAACGCTTCCCGAAATAGAAGGCATTCCCCTTCTTTGTTCATGCTTCTTGGGTCCCAACACCCATTCACTTCATCCTTGTGATCAACGTTGCTCTCTCCTCAGAGACTTTCCGTCCCGGCATTGATATTTGCTCCCTCTCCAAGGTTGAGACATATTCACTTCACGCACCCTTGTTATCTCAACAGATGGTTTCCTCCTCCCGAATGCATTCCATCTCATAGCTCTTTGTCTCCTTGTGGCAAACAAGTATCGCTCCATAGCCGAGCTGAATGATAAGCACTAAGAGCGACAAGCCGAGAGCAACAGCACCCAAAACAACTGCATCTACATTCTGTCCTCTGAATGTGACGTCAGAGAGCGGGTCCCTGTCCAGCAATACCCCGCATAGCTCATTAACGCGTCTATAGTTATCCTCGGACACGTTCATCATTTCGAGTGACCTTCGTGCCTTCGTATCAATCCGCTTCCCAGTCAAGATTGCGGCAATACCCAGAGGTATACCTGGTATCCCTGTCCAAAACAGGACGACGCCAGCGATGCCTAGGTTCGTGGAGTGCTTGCGGTCAAATCGCGACACATCGGAGTGGCGCCTCAGAAGCTGACGGAATTGATCACATTCGGGGCTCCGAAACTCTGGGAGAAAAGAGCTTTTTTGTGCAAAGGAAAAAGAAATGAGAACGAGAATTGCTGCGACGCGAAGCATGGAACAACTCGACTTGGGAAACATCTTTCGTGAAGAGGAAGTGCCTTCTTCAAGTCCCGCTGTCAGTGGGATTCCAGATGGGAGGCCAGAGATGTTATGGGCGACTTCTGGAAATGGGGTGAGAGCTGCGCCTTCAACTCAGGTCAACTTTCAACATTTCTTCTCGGCTATTGCAAAGGGAGTATAAAGAGAGATGTTTTGAGAAATGAGCAAGAGCACTTATCCCTGTACCTGGAGTACCGTTGCAATAAGATAGCCCCGCTCATTAGTCTTCTTCCTTTGCAACGGGTAAATAGTGGTGTTCGGCAGCCTATAAATTGAAGAATGACGTCAAGATCCGGCGTGGGTTGTGATTTATGCCAGGAACTTTTTTTCTTGTAACGGGACATGTCGGTGTCGACGGCGACCGAATTTGTATGGTAAGCCTCGCGATGAAAAGACCTGTTTTCTATCTAATTAGCTGCAGCTACGAGGGCACAGATGATTTGGGTCGAGAAGATGGCGGTTGCTTCTACTCATATAAAGAGAAGTCTAGTTGCGCCACCAGCAAACGGGCCCATTGTGAGGTTGAAAAATGGCCCGGATTTGTTCAGGCAGAGATGCAGCGACCAGCATGTGTCCAATGAGGTAACAAGTGCATCAATGGTCATTCGTTCGGGCGTAATGACAACGGAAGTATGTTGAACGATCTGTCTCTCTGTTTGTTTTACAAGGGCGCAACTGCGGATTTATGTTGTCGAGACGGTCCACTATGGCGATTATGGGTTCATGACGGATGTGCGAGGATTGGTATTGAGGAGAGTAGTGTTAGATCACGTGCAGGCGGAAGCCAATGTTGAAATCATTTGTTTTGACAGTGCTCGGTGGCTCGGTGCAGCGTGGAAGCACGTTAGATACGTTTTCTTTCGTAGCGACGTTAAATTGATGCGGTTTTGGGAGAAAGTGATGGAACGATGTTTGTCTTTTTGGATCTTTCCGGCACGTACGCTTGAGTACTAAATTCTGGGACATTGAAGGGAAGGTATTGCATTGACATTGCATTGATTGAGGATGTGAAGATGACATGAATTGGAAAAGTGCATTCCTTCCGGCAATGCTTCTTTGTGGCGTTCGGGAAGAGGGATTGCGTAACGGAAAAGATTGAATTCCTGCGTCTATTGACAGCCTGACCCTTCTACCTTTCTGATGCTAACCGTCGGAGAGGCGGTGTCATCTGTCGACTATCTTTTGACGGGAACGACGTTCTGAAGCCAACAGTTGCTCCCCATCTCGACAGCGCTGCGGTCGTGTACATGTGTGTAGTGTAAGGGAGTCTCATGTTTTTGCGTGCATTCCAGCAAGTCAAAATTCCATTTTTTGAGAGAGGATTGACCGACTTACACTCGTCGACCCCGTCTTTATTGGGCACAGAGTAATGTGAGAGTAATGTGAGTGTGCAGTGCTCCAGCGAGGTTGTCTCTCTGAGAGACAACGAGGTTGTCTCCCTGAGAATGGAACGAGTCCCGCTGTCTTCAAAAGCCACAGCCACAGCCACTCATCGACAGAGTCTAACTTGCCAACTTGCGGAGCTTGTGGAGCGTGTGGAGCGTGTGGAGCGTGTGCGGTAAGTTTACAGCCGCACGCGCAAAGCCGCTGCGATCCCGCTTCACGAGCTTTCACGCCACAGTCTTCCACGCCACGCCTTCTACGCCACGCCTTCTACGCCACGCCACATTTGTCTGTAAAGTAGCTGCCACTTGGTTCAATGGGGCCGGTTAAGGCCTTCAACATGTATGCGATTCGCCGTAGCAGGGACGAGTTTACGTACTACTTGCTACTATGTCTGTCAACACACAGCAGCATCTCCAGTTACAGCAGCTACTTACATGGCACGCGGCCTTACGGCACACGTGGACCTCGCCTGCAGACATCCTCGCATGGGTCGCTCGACTCATAACCTAAAAAATGTCCACCCGTACCCCATAAAATATTCCCTCTCCCCAAAAGATACCGGGCTCCAACGCACCCGCAATCTCCCTGCCCCCGGTCCACTGTCCCTGCCAACACTTGCATATCCTCTGTAAGGGCTTTCTATCTGGAGATTAAAGCTGGAGAGATATTCACACAGTGGAGCGTGGAGCCTCTCAAGTGAAGCTGGAGAGTTATTCACACCGCGGAGCTTGGAGCCTCTCAAGTAAGGCGGAGAGTTATTCACACAGTGGAGCTTGACCCTCTTCCAGAATTTCCTCTCTCCGCCTCTTGAGCGCCTCGTACAGCATGGTCTCATTGTTCAAGCGGGCGGTATCGAACGGCTCCCGAAACCCGTCGTCCGGGCGCGGCGACTTGTTCTTCTCGTGAATGTACTTGCTGATAATACGGGCAAGCTGGCCGCGCGGCTCGGTGTCATCATACAAGTCGATAATCTCGTCGTAGCGTGCCACAATGGGCTTGATGCGGTCCTCAATAGGGTGTTGGCGGCACTTTGCCGAGTCGCCGTCATAGTATTCATACAGAGCGCAGGGGGGAAAATGCTGCATGAAGTACCTGTAGCCCTTCTGGTAGGGGATTCCGTAGTGCGTGCCGTTCTTCTTCTTGTTAAACAGATAGGCCGACTCCCACCTGTCCCTGGGCTCGCGGACCGAGGTGGCGACGTAGTAGCCGCGGTCGCGCAGGCACTCGAGCAGGCCGTCCTCGCCGTACATGTGTCCGACCAGGACGCGCGGCTTGCGCTTGCCGGCGCAGATGTCCTGGGCCATCTCCGTGCACTCGTCGCGCGAGCACAGGTCGGTGGTCTGGCCGACCGTCTCCAGGTACTCGCGGATGGCCAGCGAGATGGCAGACGACCCCGTCTTCACCGGCTTGTCGTACACGATGTACTTGCGGCACGGCTCGTCCTTGAGGCGCGGCGCGGCGCGCGGCGCGGCGGGCTTCTCGGGCGCGCGCGGGCGCTCCTGGTCCGCGGCATCCAGGTCCGCGGCCAGCAGCGGGTCGTCGACGTCGTCGTCGGCCGCGGCGGCGGCTGGCGGGGGGTTTGGAGGCTGGTTGGCGACGGCGTCGTCGTCATCGTCGCCGTCGTCGCCGTCGTCGCCGTCGAGGCGGTCGGGCTCGAGGTCGGGGTCGGGGTCGGGGTGGCGGTGGTGTCCGGGGGGTTGCTCCTGCGTTGGCGGGAGTCGGGAAGCGTCGACCGGGTCGGGGTCGGGCGGGGGTGGTGATGGTGGTGGACGAGTGTCTCCGAGAGGGTCCGGCTGGTGCGGGGCGGGGGCGTCGGGGTGCGGCGGGGCGACTTTCTTGGCGCGTTTGCGCAGGTAGGCGATGCCGGGGATGTGCTCCTCCCACTGGAGCAGGGCGAAGAGGGCGAGCGCGGCGGCGAGCACGGCGAGGAAGCGGCACAGGGCGGCCTGCGAGCAGCGTCTCTTGAGCGCGGCGGCCTGCATGGTGGGGGCGTTCTGCGGGGGGAGGGGGGAGGGGAA